AATACTGCGTTAGGGAGGTGTGAAAATGAATTTCTAACACAGATGTCACAAAATGATTCACGAAAGATCATCCACACTCCAAGCAGAGCACAAACAATTTCTGGTTATTTTGAACAACTGAAAGAGCATACATGCGCATACTACTTACCACCTAAAAAGAGATGGGCTACTATGCTGCTTGATGCACAACCATTCTAAGGTTCACCGTGCAGGATAAAAAGAGAGTGAACATGCTGATGTACTCCCTCGTTTAAAACAGTCCAGAAAGGAAACGGACGATGATCTCATTGTCTGTGTGCGTGTGGACTTTGGGAAAAAGTTCTGCTGTTGCTAGTACCTAACAGCACCGCAGACTTGATAGAGGGAGCCACCGACGCCATCAACGGTACCATTGGTTGATTATTTCCTATCCCCAAAAAGAACCCATTCCAAAGTAGTTCAAACTTGAATGATTTTACCAACAGTTCCGTGATGCAGGTTCGGGGGAGAAAACAGATAAAATCAATGATTCTAATCTGTATTTCTTTGACCGGTTTTGGATCGGGCCATGCAACGGGATGGTTACACTGTTCATTCTGTGCTCCAAGATGTTGAAATCTCCTCTGCGACTTGAACTAAAATTATGGCCGGTCGCAGGTTAATTTAATAAGCTTACTGGCACAGTGGTAACACATGCAATGGGTCCGGAGTTCAAAACCCGGACTGGATGGTGGGTATGCACTACTGATGAGCTCTAAAAGGAGAGAAACTCAAGTCTTCTGAGTGCTTATGAGTGTATGGCTAACCAAAAGAACTGGGGATTGTGCGTGAAAGTGAAATCAGTTCAAATCAAAAATTTTTTAGTCTCCTCTGTGTTGCCGTTGTTGTTTCGGGCCCTACATCTACGAAGTCAAATGTTTTTAGTATAGAAATACATATTCCCGGTCCACAATTGAACGGCTTTTGAATACTATTTAAAAGAAAATCAAAATATCCGGGAGAACAACAGGAAGACAAACTAATTCAATTAGGATTGCTCAACCGCAGGCTTACTTTCAAATGAAATGTTCTAAGCGCTGTAATATCTTGCGAGTGGTTCTTTGTGGAATGGGGGTGAAAACAAAAATAATATGGACGATTCGTTGAACTGCACTACTGGACGTTCCAAGTATCAACCTTAATTTAAATTCAATATTCGCGATAATTTATGCTTCTGAACACCTTTCGCATCAACCATTAACCAATACAGGGAAACGAGCTGATAGAGCAGGCGTGTCACTCAGCCCCGATATGCGTGATGAAATCAATCTTGATAGGCTCTCAAATGCGTTGTTGATCGATTTTCCGACAATTAACGCATTACAAAAGGCACTCAACTACAAATGTTAGGTTTATTTACCTCACAAAGTGGTCAGTAAGGCTACCATGGGACAGATATCCTCATCCTGTTATTCGTTCCACTCAGCCACTTCAGATCAACCCACGGATGCAAACATGCAAAGCTCGAGGATTTAAGGAGGGAGATTTTGACCGTCAGTAAGCACATGAAGTGTTACTGAACTGAGTATTATTTGATATTGTGATGATCTTGCTTGGCTTTCGGTTTCCCACCGAACGGTTATATAGCAGATATTCGAAAGTACACCAATCATAAAGTCGGATGGTACTTGTTATTTATCAGGTAGTGTGGTAAACAGTACCTTAGTACAATCCATTAGTGGTTGATTAATAAGGAACTCTATTCTTCTCTGATAAATACTTTTTACGTCTTTATGACTTCAGAAAGAGTATACCGTATTTTGAGGACTAAAAAGCTATATTATTCGAAAAATGTCAACAAATCGTGCGTAACTGATTCATTCTACTAAGTGTCAAGTTTAGCCAAAAAATAATCAACGAAGGAATTGAATCAGGTGGACTTTTGGTTTCAATTTCGGTCACGTTACCGTCAGTTCGATTGTTCGCAGAGCGGAATATCAGTTGAAATAAAAACACCGGTAGTTGTTTCCGTAATCGAGGAACGTAAATGAAAAAAATATGACAAAACCAAACGAAACGATTTGATTTTCCAATGGATTTTTACGGTTGAGTTCGACAAATAGCATAAAACCACAAAAATCATTCTGGCAGAAACCCTTAGGAGACGATGTTTACTATTGAACTAAAGAATATAACTTATAGTTTTGCTCAAATTTATTCTTTGGCTAATGGGATAGGTATAAAGATTTGTTTTGTCACGCCCTCACACAATACCGATACCAATGAAGTTTCCCCCAGGTCGAAGCATGGAGTACAGTCAGTGAACATGCAATTATCGGTCATTTTAAGGCTCATGGGCACACATTTCAACTGAGAAGGTTTTGTCTATGGCCAAAAATTCTTTCAACTTAACATGTTTCAGCAGATGTGTATTTTTATAATATTGTCTGTTAGAGATCTCAAATGCACGGTATTGAGAAACAATATTTCCTAATTTGGGAACTAAATCATGTTATTCGAACAGAAGACGTATTTCATGTCAGCTATTAGTACTTAAACTGCGATATTTGACGTTTGCTGAGCGCTGATGTATTAGTGAAAGTAATTGGGTGCCCAATGACAAGAAGATTTCATACCTATGATAGACATCAAAAAGTTCAAATGTCTTTCTAGAGCATTCATTGTAACTTGATTATTCCACAGTTATTGGCTGATCATTTCATCCAACCAAGCTGTATGTGCGGAGTTATAACTTCTTGCTACAATGTGAAAGACATGATTTCAAAGTTAACGGGTTTTGTTTCAATGAGTTTCACGTTTCGAGGAAGCATGGTTCTTCCCAAAATCATTCAATTGTCAGTTAATCTCTAAAACCTAGTTTCTATAAAACCCTTAGTTAGAGTTGTTCTGTTATCTTCAGTGATGCATATTGCAATTGCTCCATGGTTGCTTGAAAAAATTTATCAATTTATTTCTACCTCGTTGTTCTGCCTTTTCTTGCATGAGCAGTTATATGGCCATGTGGAAAGTGCTTTTTGATACCGATTTAAAACATTATGACATGTGATTTGAGAACAACAGCTATTTTTCTGCAAGCAGGATTTCGGTTCTCTTTGAAGTTTGTAATTTGCGTTTGCATTTCCTTTCTTGAACGTGTGCACATTAAACCAGTCTTCCGTGTATCTTAGTTGCTTTTGTATATACAGTGGAATAAATTGACACACTTCACTTTAATCCATTTTCGACTCTTCTAACACAAAAATTGTACCCAAACTGCACTTCATTCATTAGAACAAACTCACAGCTGTTGGAGCACTTGGGTTTTGTACGCTTCACGACCCACACTGGAGCGGCAATTATATCAAACAAGTCACGTGACTTTCCCCTGACGCAGTTAATTCAATCACGGTGAATACCCAAAAAATTACGAGCAATTTATACGCAGTGATGCATTGAACAAGTTCCCCCAAAATGCGTTCATTTATATTGTTTTGTGCATTGTACGAACAGAAGAAAACCAAATCATAGGGATATAATTGCAGTCCTTTTAAATAGATAATAATGTTGAAACGCTGTTTTACTGACGCTATATCTGCGATGGCCTAAGCCAAATGCTCGGTTTCACTAGGTTGATGAAAATCATTATGCTTTTGAATCCGCTGTGATTTGCGTTTTCTTCCGAACTCTAAGTGAAAGGCATGAACCGGATAATTGATAATCCAGAGAGTTATAACGTTTTGTTTAGGAACCCTCAAAATTTGACGCCGACAAGGATCGGGATTTACTAAAGTCCTCTTAAGATCGTTTGACACGTTTGCAGGGCTACCCCTGAATCTGTTTCTTCTGTCGACTAGTATTTGCATCCATTTTTACTACCAAAATGTTTGAGATCTCTGTGCATCCATTTAACCAGAAAACTAAGGCTCATTTTTGATAATGATATAATCAAGTACATCCGTGATTTATATACTGTTGCAAAGAAACGAATCTCAAGACGACGAGCATCTGCATACACGTCAGATAAGACATCAAAAAATGTCCTCCACATCTCTATAATTATACAATCGCGTTGCGGATCTGCATAGCTTAGTTCCTTGTGAAACTGAGATCATTTCCAATGCATTCGGAAATTATTTACCATTTCGTTTCTCTCTCAGGCAACCGGTAAATGCAGAAAACTGCAGCCCCTTCTCCTCAACACACAGTATCACTGCACCGTATAACCAGAATGAATATATGAACTCATAATCAAAAACCAACTGCACGTAGAACTGTTTGCTTGATGGAATTTTTCAAGATAATCTGTAAATCAACTGTATTAGACTGTCCTTGATTGACATCTCAATAAATCATAATTCAATCTCAGCCTCAAAGATGTACCCTTCACGAAACACGTGAATTTTTCATCTGTATTGCGATTTCCTATGAGATGCTTCGTGAAGATGACTTGTCAGATACTCCGTCCTCTTTGGAGCACATCCGCAAAGCATTCCATTTCTGGTGTAATTTCAAGAACGGTGATTCCTAACACATTTGCTATTGGAGCTTGGTTTTAGTGGATATTTAAGTACTCCTAAACCTAATTTACAGTCACTGTGTGTTTGCGTCTGTGTGCGTGTGGATCTACATTCAAATTAAGCAAACCTACTTATTTTGACAAATGTATTCATCAGTCAAGAAACAGACTCTGAAAGATGAACTGAGGAACATCAGTAGGCATTTATTGGAAGCGTCATAAACCTGTGGAGATATCTGAAGACTAATAACTGAACGTTATTTAAATGTACCACTTTATGATTTACGCGGTGAAACCTTCTCTCAAAAAAATCAAAAATTGACGCTTGACGCTAAAAATAAGAAAAACACCATCCCTTGGTCATACAAACTGTTCACTACTTTCATTTTCGGGTTAGCAGATTGTGAGAGTACAACTGCATAATGAAGTTCAAACAATTTATTTTACTAATGGACGATTTTTTATATAAGCTGACATTATTACATCATACTCACTGTTTTTTGGTTTCCTGTCACTCGACTATCAGGTTGAAGCTCAGGTCATTGAGCTGTGTGTAGATCCACCCAAGGATACTGGCGGATTACCTCTCACTCATTATGAATTGCTCATTCAAACGCATCCACAAGGTGGATTTTATGGACCATTTGCTTACTTGCCGGGTAGACGATTAGTTCGTTTACCCCATCTGATACCTGGCTACTATTATCGATTTGCATTGTCGGCGGTTTCGGATGCTGGGAGAGGACCGAATGCATATTTGGAAGTAAGTCAGTCACATGCAATCAGCACGTTTCCTTTTCGCCACATAATTTGTTGACCTAATCAATACTTTGCCTGATTGGATACATTCAGAAGTGTTAAGGTTTGATCGATTCGAACATTCATTTGGATTAGTGAGTGGCTTTTAAGCATCCGGCTGCATGCTATCATCAATGTGACTGACAGTTGAGCGCATCAGATCATAAAGAGCAAGGTATGTGTATACATTTATTAATATTTTTATTTAATTTTACTTTCTTTTATTGAATACACAATGATTCAATTTTCAGGAAGGGGGAAGCGGCCAATCAAAGGGTTGCCATTAGGAAAGTCGGCGCTGGTGGTAGAGTTCGAACACACGTCCCCCGAGGTGATAATTTGGTGACGTTACCACCATATATTTGTGACAATTATGTCAACCACATGTTAGCACTACGTTGAGCGAATCGTGTTTGTTTGGTTCAATGCATGTCATTTTCGGTAAATCAATACGTATGGCTAAAAACTTCTATTGCAGAATTTCCACTTAAATGGTGGGAATGGAAGATGATCATATTATCACAATTTGACCGTCCTTTCACCAAGCCTGATCAGCGTGTCACTCATCAATAAAAAAATTGAATGTATTCTACAGTTGTATCATATTCACTTGTGGGAGTCTCTTGCAGTTTATATTCGAGGGATGGAGTATCAAGCTTGGATTGGCCGATTACGTTGTTCAGAGGCACCAGACACTCTTGACGGCCTTAGATGTGGGTTTCATTCCTTGGCAGACTGTTAACTCTCCACTAGTCGAATGCACATAAATGCAATGGAAATGTTTGTGATAACCGACAAAGAGCGCTGGACAGCTGTTTCGTCCTGTTTGCATATATAAAACAGTGCGTAGTTTCTGTGTCTGTCAGGACTCGACCTGTGAACCTTCGAGTTGGGACCTCAAACTTGATTGATCCATTCAAAGATTTTCGACCGTGCACCTCAGGCTTAAGGGTTGGAAGTCTTAACCCGAAGTTTTGCGGTTAGGGTTCTGATGGAACACAAAAAGTAAGCACTGCCGACGAGTCACAAACGAGCGAAACAGCTATCCGGGGCACTTTGTCGGCCATCAGATAGAATTCCCTCGCATTTAAAATATATTTGCAAGAGTTTACTGTGATTCGTATCTCTACAAATTTGCTAATCACTCAGAGTATTGGGGATGACTCTTGGCAGATGGTGCCAGGCTAGCAATACTAACGCATTCCTATTCATTCCTATTCATAACCGACACCATTTGGCAAAGATGCTGACCGCATGACAGGGCTCAGCTGATGCCGGCGGTTGACAATCACAAGCTGGTTCGCGAGGTTTTGGGTTTTGTTTTCACAGACCACTAAGCAACAGGTACAATCCATCTTGTGATCGCAACTGTTGCTTTGTAAGTCTGCACATTCCAAATGTTCGACTGGTTTATCTAACACTCATAAGATTCCTTGAGCTAGTCGTTCAAGATTTTTGAGGTCAATCGAGTATTGCATATACTCAGATCTGTGTGTCGCACGTTGAATATCTCTGTCACAGTGAATTCTGATATAACGACCAAATTGTGTTAATTGACGTCCACATTGCCACCAACCGCTATATCCTAACCGAGACACAGAGAGTTCAACGCTGCCATCAAACCAAATGTGCCCACATTTCGGAGTAACACTTATAAGACGTCTGGGAAAATAAATTTTGAACTTATTAATGTTGTTGTTCGTGATGGTGATAATCATTTGATGATGATGGTAGTGGGAATGAGATGGTCCCTAACTTCGGTAACAAAGCGATGTGGGCATTTTACTGATCTCTTCTTTTCTGGCAATGTCATTCGTTGGAGTGTCAGGAACATTGAATAGCTCATGTTCTTTTTTGTGGGCATCATATTCTGTTTACCTTTTTCCAGTTTAATCTGAGTTCTGATTTACAGGTGGTTTTCTGTCTAACTTCACTGGTTTATCGTGAAGGAGACATCTTTTGAACGCAGTTACTCCCGTAAATGTCGTCCAACCACCCCTAACTGTGTAATTTAATCCTATATCGGACCGGGAGATTTTGTGAAACGATATGTTTACGCATTTTATTGCGCGTAACGAATTAAATTCTAATTTTCCTTCTATTGCTGCGATTTGTTGGACCGAGAAAAATTAATTCAGCGGAGATTTTCTATGAAACAGTTTCACTGACTCTTTCTACCAGCCACTGCTTGGATAATGAATAGACGTGAGGTTCTCATTCGGGCGAATATGGCGTGATATTGTAACGCGAAAACCGTAGCCGCTGGTTCTCGCCTATTGGAGCATACAGTAATCAATTTTTCAACCCAGCATTCTACTGTTTTGAACTACGCTCTCTCTGTTCAGGTTACAACAAACAAACTATCCACGCCAGCAATCAAAATGCTCACAGCGCAAGAGTACATCGAACCGAACGCGTACAATGTGCACTGGAAGACGTCCGGGGCAAGTGGACCGGATATTAAGCAGTACAAGATCAGTGTGAGGCCGGTCGAAGTGGATTATTCAATGGGTAGGTGTGTTCGTTTTGATTTGGTGCACAATTTCGAGGGGGTAGGATTCATTGCGCCTATCAGTTCGGGCATGGCGTTCAGACCATGTATCTTCAGTAATATAACTGACATACTCAATATTGGCTTCTATCATGTTAAACACTGCCCAATTTCACTCACAAGCCTAGTGGTTATGGGAAATATAACATCGGTCTGATGCATTATTCGAAAACTACGAAATTTTATTGACTTTTAACATTATTTTCTCGCACTTTGAGTGATGGAAAAGAAGAAACGGACCACATACTTTAACGTCGCTGGTCAGACAATTTGGGTTTTGTCGTTTTTACACCAGATTTACAAAATTTGTGTAAGGTTCAAAATCATACAACGATTTATTGTTGCCTAATAGAAGTATGTGATTTCACCGGCAATAAAGCTCCAAATTTGCCCTCGTTGAGTTTCTTGGGTTACATATTCGCGATGAATGAAAACTGTTGTGTGATTATCCATTATGATTTATTGGATGGAATTATCGGTGACGTGTCTGCCGAACCCATGTTGTTGATGAATGTAAACAAACAGTATAAAGTTCCTCCTACAGTCTGCACCAGCTTAATATTCATTTGTTTGCTACATTTTAAACATTTTCTATCTGTTTACATTTACGACAAAACGGGACTTTTGCGCTCATCATTACAAAATGAATTGCAACAGAATCCCTCAGTCAAATGGAACGAACGTGTGAAGAACTGTAGATCATTTTTATGAAAGCACTGAAGTTGATTATGATGAATTAAACTAAGTTGTCAAATCTGAAAGGTGAAAGTATAGACGTTCTAGATTTAAGCGGTGAATCGTGAACGATGTTCTTTAGTTATGGGTGTGTGAAAATGCTCCACTGTCAAAGAACCGTTACAGCCTTGGAAACAATGTTTATTTGTAAACTGTATCATGGTTATTGTGGGCATCAGTAAACTCTCCAATTGGTCCGTGAAAGATAAATCTCATTGGTTTCCATTCAAATGGGTGAAAAAAATAAAGAAACGCAGTTTTTCCTTCGTTTCGTGGCGGGGTCACTTATAGTGAAAAAAAATACAATTTTGTGGGTCTTTGTGTCTAAATAGCGCGAGCACACGCACACCCTCACAGTTTTCCATTGAAGTAGTACCGCAACCAAAACTGTTCGTCGAGATTTAACCTGTGGCTCTGTTTGATTAAGTTGAATTGCATTTCAAAACTTGTTCATTAGTTTGTTCACATTCACGTGCATTTCACATCTAAAGTATACACTCATTCACAGACGTCCACTATCAATTCGACGAGAGACCCGATACCGTTTGTTAGACAAAAGCGCCTTCAGCAAGGATTTTGTCCACTCTATCACATCTCGTTAACTGAATTGCATTTGTCCGCAGCTTTGTAGTCTTAATGAACTGAGGGTGGAGGAGTTGTCTTGGGTGTAAATGAATCAAGCCTTATACACAACGTTTGCAAAACTAATTGTTCAACTTTCATCGGATTGATGTTCAACTCATTCGTCAGCTCACAGGTAAAACATTTGAATTTTGAACAAGAAGTATTCATATCTCATATTACATAAATTGAAACGAATGAACAGATATAATCCATCACAAAGGAGTACACAAAACAGAAAATGATTGATCTGATCTGTCCAAAGATTAGACGGAATTTCATTGCCATCCGGAACGATATACAAAGTTGACGCATCCGTTTTCAATAGTCACAGTGTAAAAAGCTAATGTGAAATCACAATTGTTTTAATGTGTCTGATGATGATGCTCAGGAAGAGATTAATGTCTTTTGTGACGTTGATAACCGTTTAGATGCTTGAGCCCAACAGGTTACTTAGCATTCTCTAATTATCGTGATACATGCACTAAATACATTAGAAAAATTCATTCCTGACAATGGAAACACACGTATGGCCACTAACTAAGGTTGGATGTGCACATGCGACAAGCGAGTATATGTACTTCACACTTATGGTTGCCTTTGAACAATTTTATGCAAATGCAAAGTGATAGAAATTTATGTATTCTCAACCGAACTTCAAACATCAATTTCACGAATACAAAACTGGTAGCTGCATAGACAATCTAGCTAAACAGGCGTTATTCAGATTGGTCAATAGTAAAACACAATGTGAATGAACGATGTGTTCTGTTTGTGCTTGTAGTACGTTTCTGACTCCACCGGCTCAATCAGAAACAATGCACCGTTGTAAGAAAACTGATTGATAAATCAATCCAACCAAATAAGAGCTGTTCATTGGGAAGCTGATGCAGCACGGTGCCTGACGTTTGTGATGAAAAGATTACAATTACAAAGATTACAATTGATCCTGCTATAAACTGATTGATTGCTGTGTTATCGCGGGGTAGCGGTAAACCTGCTGCATAGTAGAACAGTGAAAAAGCATTTCGAGGAATATGCTTGGAGACGAAGAAGAACGAGAAGCAGTGAAGAGTCTTCACTGACCATTGCAGACATTTAAGTTTGGACAAATTGAGAATCCTCCGTAATCGAGTTAATGACTCGGTAGTTTTAGCTTGGAAATGGGTTTTTTCAATCAAAGGTGGTAAGAGGAGAAAAGTCATGTCTGTATAATAGAACACAATTTCAGACAGAAAATTGTTTTTAATTACTAATAATCATGCCGTTACAGTTTATGTGAGGGAAAAAGCTTGGAGTTGGGAGAACACTAAAATGTCAGGAATCATTCATTTTGTGTATGCATGTCTGTGTTTTTGTGTGTGTTCCA